GACCCCCGCTCTCGGGCCTCACCGGCCTGTGGGAGGAGGCGGTGTCCATGGTCTGTGGGAGGAGGCGGTGTCAATGGTCTGTGGGAGGAGGCGGTGTCCACGGCCTGTGGGAGGAGGCGGTGTCCATGGTCATGGTCTGTGGGAGGAGGCGGTGTCCATGGTCTGTGGGAGGAGGCGGTGTCCGTGGTCTGTGGGAGGAGGCGGTGTCCATGGTCTAGTGGGAGGAGGCGGAGTCCATGGTCTGTGGGAGGAGGCGGTGTCCGTGGTCTGTGGGAGGAGGCGGTGTCCGTGGACTGTGGGAGGAGGCGGTCCATGGTCTGTGGGAGGAGGCGGTCCATGGTCTGTGGGAGGAGGCGGTGTCCATGGTCTGTGGAAGGAGGCGGTGTCCATGGTCATGGTCTGTGGGAGGAGGCGGTGTCCGTGGTCTGTGGGAGGAGGCGGTGTCCATGGTCATGGTCTGTGGGAGGAGGCGGTGTCCATGGTCTGTGGGAGGAGGCGGTGTCCATGGTCTGTGGGAGGAGGCGGTGTCCATGGTCTGTGGGAGGAGGCGGTGTCCATGGTCAGTGGGAGGAGGCGGTGTCCATGGTCTGTGGGAGGAGGCTGTGTCCGTGGTCTGTGGGAGGAGGCTGTGTCCGTGGTCTGTGGGAGGAGGCTGTGTCCGTGGTCTGGGGGAGGAGGCGGTGTCCGTGGTCTGTGGGAGGAGGCGGTCCATGGTCAGTGGGAGGAGGCGGTGTCCATGGTCATGGTCTGTGGGAGGAGGCGGTGTCCATGGTCTGTGGGAGGAGGCGGTGTCCACGGTCTGTGGGAGGAGGCGGTGTCCATGGTCTGTGGGAGGAGGCGGTGTCCATGGTCTGTGGGAGGAGGCGGTCCATGGTCTGTGGGAGGAGGCGGTGTCCACGGTCTGTGGGAGGAGGCGGTGTCCATGGTCATGGTCTGTGGGAGGAGGCGGTGTCCGTGGTCTGTGGAAGGAGGCGGTGTCCATGGTCATGGTCTGTGGGAGGAGGCGGTGTCCACGGTCTGTGGGAGGAGGCGGTGTCCATGGTCTGTGGGAGGAGGCGGTGTCCATGGTCTGTGGGAGGAGGCGGTCCATGGTCTGTGGGAGGAGGGTGTCCATGGTCTGTGGGAGGAGGCGGTCCATGGTCAGTGGGAGGAGGCAGTCCATGGTCTGTGGGAGGAGGCGGTGTTCATGGTCTGTGGGAGGAGGTGGTGTCCATGGTCTGCGTGAGTAAGAGCTGAGCATCTGCCTGTCTTGGGGCAGGTCCCAAGATTTATCAGATGAAATGCAGGGCGCCCAGGTAAGTTCAAATGTCAGATAAGTGACAATGTTTTTTTTTATTTTAGTGTAAGTCTGTCCCAGATAGTTCATGGATGTACTTACACAGAAACTCCATCATTTACCTAAAAATAAAACGTCACTGGATGGCCTATTTTATCTAGCAATTCTCCTAGTAGGTTAAAAGGGAGCTGAGGGGGGGGAAGGTTTCAGCACGCAGAAGTGGGTGGGAGGAGCTTTGGGCAGGGCCTGTCAGGGCTGAGGGTGAAGGTCAGGTCCATGGGGAGGCATCCGAGTTGCCACCTGAGCTGGCAACCAGCTCCAACCCAGAGTGCTTTCCAGTTTGCAAGAGGAAGGAAAAGAGCGACTAGAACCTTCTCACCTTCAACTTCCCTGCAGACGTCACAGAAAGGGTCACCAGCCACCCTCCTGCAGGCAGCAAGGAGCCGCGCGGGGTCCCTCCGCAGCTGGGCGCCCTCGCTGGGCCTGTGGGCAGGGCTCTGTCCGGCTTATGAGACGGAATGACCCGTGTCAGCGTTCCCCAGAAGCCACCCCTTTCCCCGTGCCGATCGCCTGGTGCCGATGCTGGCGGTACTGGGCTGGTCTGCAACAGCCGGCCGGCATCTGGCTCCCTCTAACCGCCCACCAGCCAGCCATTGGGGGGGGGGGGGTGCGGAAGGAGAGTGAGGGGCCAGAGGCCTCGGGGAAGGACAGCACCCTTGAGCCTCGTCCATGGGGCTGAGGCTCAAAGACACTGTTGGCCTTCACAGATTGGTTTCCCTGTAACCCCCAGGAAGGACAGCACCCCTCCCCCCGCCCGGCCCCACAGGGCCGCTGCGTCTCCTTGCTGAGCACCCTCAGTGCTGACAGGTGGCAGCGGGAGGCCGGGAGGCGGCACCAGCCGTGACTGCTGAGCTCAGCCACTCGGGGCGCGGCCTCTCCCTCTGGGAGCCTCCGCTGACCTTGGCTCGCCCGGGTCTCCGGGTCCCGTGGCAACACTGCCCCACTGACCCCGCTTCCGGTCCCGCAGGCCACGCACAAGGCCAAGCTGAGGATCGACGAGAAGGGCTCGGAGGGGGCCGCGGGCACCGGCATGCAGACACTGCCCATGGAGAGGCCCATGACCTTCAAGCTGGACAGAGCCTTCCTGCTGATGATTGCGGAGAACCTCACCCCCACCATGCTCTTCATGGGGAAGATCGCCAACCCCGCCGGCTCCTAAGGAGGGTGCCGCCCCCGTCCTCCCCGGGGCTGCGCGCCAGGGGCACGGCCCCGCCCCGCCTCCCCGTGAGCCCCAAGCAGGCCCACGGCGGCACTGCCCTCCCGCCTTCACACCTGGGAGCAGGCACCCTCCCCGGCTGGCAGTGCTCCCTGCCCCCTGGCAGCAGAGGAGTGCTGCGATTTAATAAATATCTAACGTACTGGCTGTCTTTCAAACAGAAACTGAGTCCGAGCTCTCGCCATTTACTCATCTCCCCTTTAAACTAACTTTGTTCAAAAGGCAACTACTGCACGTCTTAAACGTCTTTCTGCTGAATTCCTACTCCACGGCCATACTTTATTCTGAGAAACAGAAAAGGAGGGGGAAGGCGGGGTGGGCAGAGGGAGACTCTACCAAACAGAGGAACGGCAGGTGCCCAGGGGGCAGGCGGCAGGGGGCATGGACGGTGAGCGGCAATGGGGTGCCTGTGGCCGGAGGCGCAGGCGGAGGCAGGAGGGTGGGAGGGGAGGAGCTCGGCCTGGGGCCCAGGAGGCAGCAGGCCTCACCGGAGACGGTGACAGCGCCGCGGGTGCCAGCCGGAGGGCGGCCAGGAAACTCACCTGCGGAAGGTTTTCCCTCGAACTGCAGGCTGGGCCCACGCCCAGCGCCTGTCCTGGTGAGGGCTTGGTGTCTGTGCTGACGGGGAGACTGACCAGCCAGCCCCGTGTCCCAGCCGCCTGCCCTCCGGAGTGCCGCTCTGCTCTGGGAGGGAAGCCGGGCCTGCTCTTCCCGAGTCCGCAGGGCACCCTCTGCGCGGCCGCCTCCGCTCTGCTCAGGCGCCCTCCACCCACCCGATGCTCTGCTTGCCCCCCCCCACCCCCCGCCCCACACCCGCCAGGTGTGACTCACCTTCTCCTCCGTGAGGCCTTCCCGGCCACATGCGTGTGGACTGGCCGACCGTGGACCGGAGGAGTGGGCATCCTGACTCCTCGTAACCAGCCCACGGGCGCCTCTCCCGGCGGGGCCTGTGGGCGGCTTTCTCCAGCCCGCGCCCGCCGGCCCCTCCAATAGCCTGGCCACCCCACTGGGCGGCCGAGAGGAGTGAGGCTCGGAAGACACGTGTGGCCTGTGGCCCACAGCCAGGCCCGGAGCTGGGAGTCTCTGGGACAGCTGTCCACTCACCCAGCAAGTATTTGCTGAGCGTCACGCTGTGCGTGGACGGCATGTACGGAGCTCCTGTGCCCGTGGCCGCTGTGGGAACTGGCAGGCACCAGCGCCAGGGACACAGCGGGGCAGCAAGTGGAGCAGGTCAGGCGCCTGGAGGGCTGGCGTGCTGGCGGCGGTCAGGCGGCCTCCCTGGGAGCGGCACTCCCGCTGGGACAGTGAGTTCTGAGCTTCTCCTCGCACCCCCGGCCTCGGGGGCCTCTGGCCCAGGAGATGCCACTCAGGGGGCTCGGCCCCAACAAGGGTGAAAGTGCCCAACACCGGAAACCAGGGCTCAGAGGCCCACCTGATAGAGGCAGCTGGTGCCAATGTGCCACCTCCATGTTCATCCTGCAATGGGTCCACTGAGCCACCGGGTATTTCCTGAGCATCTATATGAGCCAGGCGGTGCGCCAGTCAGGGAAAGCCCAGTGACAGGGGTCACACGGCTGGCTTCGTGCACCGCGTCAGTGCTCAGGGTGACAATGGAGGGGGGGCGGTGCCTGGCCAAGGCACCTCTCTCTGGGAAGCGCTCTCTGCTGCTGCTCACTTCCCAGGTTGCACTCATTCCATGACTGTTCCCATGACCCGGGCACCAGCCTCTTCGATTTTGTACCATTTTTTGCTCAAGGTTGGTCTTTAAATCAGCTTTAGAAAAACAAAAAAGAAATGTGTTTAAACAGAAAAATTAATATCAAAGCCCAGGATACATGCCACAAAGAGAAGTTAACTAAACACACACACAGAAAACAACCCTGATTAAATCCCACCGAGACTGGTACTGCTGCAGCCGGGCCGGAGGCCTGCTCTGCTTTGGTGAACTGAATGTCAGCTGTAATGGAGAAATAAGTAACAACTTAAAAATAAACTATAGCCCTAACCAGTGTGGCTCAGTGGATAGAGCGTCGGTCTGCAGACTGAAAGGTCCCAGGTTCGATTCCAGTCAAGGGCATGTACCTTGGTTGCGGGCACATCCCCGGTAGGGGGTGTGCAGGAGGGGGCTGGTTGATGTTTCTCTCTCATCTATGTTTCTAGCTCTCTATCCCTCTTCCTTCCTCTCTGTGGAAAGTCAATAAAAATTTAAAAAAAGTGGTAAGAAGATCTCCATAATCCGGCGACGGGACAGAAGCATTCACGTGTGCGAGGCAGGCAGGGGATTCCAGAGTGAGGGCCACCCTGGCCGGGAGCTTCTGAGAAACAGGCGTGGGCCCAACCCATTTCCTGGAGGCTCTGGGGTCCCGGGAGCAGGAGTTCTGAGCTGGGGGATCCTGGGGAGCTGCCCGGGGGCAAGGGCAGAGCTTGGGGGGAGAGGGGGCAGGAAGACCCAGGGCCCCGCCTCCCACGTCTTCTGGTCTTTCCCAGGAAAGTGACTGCGTAGCTCTTGGTGGGGCCTGGGACTCTGCACTTCAGTGAGACCAGTTTCTCTGGACGATGAACCACGCTTGGGAAACCCTAGGCTCCTGACTGTCACCTGCTTCAGTACCGGGGGTGGGTGAGTCAACAGAGCCCAGCCCTGGGGTTCCCGCGTCTTCCCACGCCCTCCCGGCACTCTGCGCCTCGTCCCAGCACTCGCGGATCACACTCCCTGCTCTAGAGGAAATCACCGAGGTCCAGGCTGTCTGACTGGGACAGACACACAGGAAGGTAAACTGCAGGGGGCACTCCGGTGTGGTCTGCTCCGGGGAGGGCGGGCTTTCTGGGGGACTCGGGAAGGTTCTGGAATGGGTGATGTGGAAAGACCCCGCAGGGTGGAAAGGCCTGTCAGGTGGGTGAGTGGGGAGGGGGGGGTGCGTCTAGAGACAGAGTCATGTGAGATCCAACAAGGGGGTGGTGGTGGCAGGGCTGCATTCATTCCCTTTTACTGTGTCCGGCCTTCTGCATTAGATGTAGTTCACAGAGAGGGAGTTACAAATGCTTCCGCCAGTTTTCATTATTTCTTCTAGTTTTCTGGTCTCCTCGGCCCCTTAGCCCAGAACGCCTGCTGCCCGCGGCTGACTTCTGCGTTTGTCTGGAAGATTGCTGGGCTCTATCTCCCCTCTCTCCCTTCACGCTCTCCAGCGTAGATAATTCCTATGGCTAGCTTCAAGCTCACTGAGCTTTCCCTCTGAACCTCTTCCCTGAAACCTAGCCAGTGAGCTTTTCATTTTGGATACTGAATGTTTCATCCCTGAGAGTTGGATTTGATGCTTTTTCACAGTTTTGACTTTTCTCACATGAGACTGAGGGGTTCTTTACTTAAGCGTGTTTTAAGCAGATGTTTTCCAGTTCTTGCCTGTTAGTTTCACAATCCCAGCTATCTCTGGGTCTGTTTCTATTGACTGATCTTTCCTTCTGGTCTGGGATCACATTTTTCGATTTCTTAAAACCTCCAGTTATTCTGTATTGGATGCTGGTCATTGTGACGTTCTCCTTTTTTGGTCTGGACTTTTTACTTTTATTTTTATTTATTTACATTAGCCTAAGCTGTTATTTTAATATATATATTTTATTGATTTTGTACAGAGAGGAAAGGAGAGAGAGAGAGAGTTAGAAACATCGATGAGAGAGAGTCATCGATCAGCTGCTTCTTGCACACCCCCTACTGGGGATGTGCCCGCAACCAAGGTACATGCCCTTGACCGGAATCGAACCCGGGACCCTTCAGTCCCCAAGCCGACGCTCTATCCACTGAGCCAAACTGGTCTCGGCAAAGCTGTTATTTTATTATTGAGTTGTTGTTTTTTTCTAAATCTTTTTTCTGAGGATCCTTGAACAAAACTGTCTTCCTTGGAAACCAGAAGCTATAAATACATCTAGAGCTGCTCATTTTCACCTTCCCCACCTGAAAGACAAAACCTCCACACAGAGCGGAGGACAGCAAGAAAGCACCCCTCTGTATAGTGCGCTGACACCTGTTTTGACTGTTAACTAAATTACTTGCATGTTTTCAAGCCCCATTAGCGGATCTAGAGTAGCTTTTTAAATTAAATATGCTCTTATGGATTTCAGAGAGGAGGAGAGAAGAGAGAGATAGAAACATCAATGATGAGCATCATTGATATGCTGCTTCCTGCATGCCCGTTACTAGAGATCAAACCCACAACCCAGGCCTGTGCCCAGACTGCAAACTGAACTGTGACCTCCTGGTTCATAGGTTCACCCCAACCTCTCAGCCCCTGAGCCACGCCGGCGGCCAGAGTAGTTTTAAGCCAAAGTCAGCTCAGCCCTCATGTCAGAATGCAGTATGTAGGCTCTCCACTAAATGCCGTAGGTCCATGGTCAGCAAACCGCCGCTCACCAGCCACATTTGGCTCTTTGGCCCCTTGAGTGTGTGGCTCTTCCACAAAAATACCTCGGCCTGGGCAAGTCTATTTTGAAGAAGTGGCATTAGGAGAAGTTTAAGTTTAAAAATTTGGCTCTCAAAATAAATTTCAATGGTTGTACTGTTCATATTTGGCTCTGTTGATTGATGAGTTTGCCGACCATTGCCCTAGGTCTCCTCACCCTCACTGACCACAATCTAAGTGTCTTCCCATGTTATGTGAACTCTGGGAATTGTTCCCTTACACCCAGCAGCTCCTTGTCTTGGTTTGGGGGCTCCGGGGATTTATTATTTATTTGGGGGCTAGCCTCAGAGGACTTTGCTTTATGGCGCAGAGCTCAGCTCAGGTTTGGACTTGGCTCGTGCGCACTCCCACCACACAGCGGGCTTCCTGGGCTTCCTCAGACAGCACCCACTCTCCTGGGCCCAGGGGGCCTGCCTGCCGCTCGCCTAGGCTCCTTCCCTGGTCTGTGCGGGGGCCTGGTGCAGTGGGGGCCAGGCATGGCAGGGATCCCCTTTTCCGCATCCCGCACGAGAGAGAGATGAACGAACTGGCTCTAAGTGGAGGCTGCCAGGGATTGAGAAATAATAGAAAGAAAGAAAGAAAATGCAGAAATAGATTTAAAGCTGGGAGCCAGGTGGGACGCCATTCTCTCTGATGGAGAGGCAGCGACGGTGACCCTGAGACCACAGAGCACATTTATTTTATACCCAAATACCAGGAAGTAACACCAAAACTTAGGGTCAAAGGAGTTTATTTGCATTCTTAAGTAGGCCCTAGTTTGCCTGAATTTATATATCTAGTCCCGCCCCTGCCAACATCTAGGCTGATATGAAGGCCAAGCTGATTACACCGTCCGCCATCTTGGGGAAATGTGTATCTGAGCCTCGGCTCTGCCAGTCGCCTCGGATTCAGATGACAATTTAAGGAAAATGCCCATGTGCCTTCCCAGGCGGCCCTCTGCAGGTCAGAAAGTGCCCTGGCAGCAGCTGGGCATTCACAGGGCCCCCGCATCATCCTTCTCCGCCTGTGCCGCCCAATGTCTGATGGTTTCTTTTGGCTTTCTTCAGTGTCTCAATTTTTTAGAAATTTTTCTAATGGTTTATAAGTCCCAAGGCAGTTCCTTTGCCTTGGCCAGAAGTGTAAGGCAACTCTGATGTAAATGTGAGCATACCTCTCACCTCAGTTAGCACTGAGACGCCTTGGAAGAGTCTCTCTTCCTCATTTCCAGTCAGATCCACCCTCAGGAGTAAGTTACTCATTTATATTTCCCTACTCATTCAGCCACGCATCAAACACTCCCTGAGCCCTGAGTGTTGGCCATACAGCGCTGTACAGGGAGAACAAGAGAGGCAACCACTGCCCTAACCGGTGTGGCTCAGTGGACAGAGCGTCCGCCTGCAGACTGAAGAGTCCTGGGTTCGATTCCAGTCCAGACCTTGGTTGCGGGCACACCCCCAGTAGGGGGTGTGCAGGAGGCAGCTGACTGATGTTTCTAACTCTCTATCCCTCTCCCTTCCATTCTGTAAAAAAATCAGGCTCCATCCCCAGTAGGGGGCGTGCAGGAGGCAGGCGATCAGTTTCACTCTCACATTGATGTTTTTCTCTCTCCCCCTCTCCCTTCCTCTCTCTCTAAAAAAATTAATTTGAGAAATTGTAAAAATAGAAAAAAGATGGGGCAGTAGCAAAAAGGAAATGAGCTCTCTGCCGTGTCATTGGCAGTTGTTTCCCTTGATGGGCAAGACCTCAGTGTATTTAAAATCCATTGCATCTTGAGCTAGCTGACGGAGCATTAAACCCTGGAGCAATGGGGCTTGTCCTGGGGGTGGGAGTGGCCAGGGAGGGGTTGATGGGGGAAAAGGAGACATATGTGATACTTTAAACAATAAAATAAACAAGTAAGCAAACAAATAAACGAATAAATAAATGCAGAAGAGAGAGGTATAGGGCCCTGAGATGGAGGTGAGGGCTGCTTCTGGCTCCAGGAGGAGGGTTGATGGAGGGAGAGGAGGGTGGAGGAGGGGAGGGAGGTGGTGAGGAGGGGTGGGGGAGGGAGAGGTGCTGGGGAAAGTAGGGTATGTCTTTGGGGGAGGAGGTTGAGCTGGTTCCTTTTCTGAGGGGCTCTCTTCAATGGGGGGTAAAAGGCAAGGTCACCTGGGGTGTGTGTCTGTGTGTGTGTGTTTGGGGAGGGAGCCCATGCTCAGGACATGGAGAGGGCTGAGACGCTCCCCACAGGCAGTGGCAGTGAGTGACGGGTGCCATGGCAGCAGCAGAGGAAGACTGTGGGCCAGAGGGCCTTGCCACTGTCACAACCGCCAAGGCCCAGGTGTGGAGGGGTTTGGGATGAAGGGAAGCCTTTGACACCCAAGCGGGACTTGAAGGCTGAGGAGAGCAGGGGTGGGACCGAGTGAAATGCGACCTTCCCAGGAAACGAGACGTCCACGGGCCCAGGGAGGAGGACTGAGGTGCCGGGTGCCCGGGCCCCTCCCAGGCCAGTGGGAGCCGGAGGAATCCGAGTGGGAGAGTGACGCATGAGGCCTGCATCTGGGAAGCTCAGCCGTCTGCGGGCGGAGGGTGACGAGGCCAGTGGGGCTGAGCGGTGGAGACAATGGCAGGTGGCCCGAAGGGGTGGCGGCGGCAGGGAGGGGTGCAGATGGGGCAGGCACGGGGAGGACAAAGTGTCCCTGTCACCCTGACTGCAGAGCCCCAGGCCGCAGCTCAGGCTGGGAGAGAGGATGCCGGGAGACAGAAGGGCAGCCCTGAGGCCAGAGCTCGGGGGAGAGGCCGGTGGAAGGGGGTGGGAGCTGCCTGCAGCCTGGGCTGAGCATGTTTTCGGGAGCAGAAGGACCTGCCTCTGGGTCCTCGGCCATGGAAGCCCTTTGAGGCCACCGCCCTGAGGCCCAGAGAGCACCAGCCACGTCCTGAGCTCACATGGAGGCCGGCCATAGCAGGAGGACAGGCCAGGCCGTTCACCAGCTGAGCCCAGAAGGGCGACCAGTCCAGGCTGGCCTCCCGCCCAGCCCGGGCGTCGCACACAGCAGGCCTGGGGCACAGAGCCAGACGTCCTCCAGCGGGGCCACGTCTGCTGATGGCGAGGAGACGCTCTGGGAGGCAGAGCCGGTGTTAGCAGGTGTCCCTGGGGGCCCCCAGCCCCCCACCTCCCGGAGACAGGTGCTCTGTGCTGCCCCACCCCAGGCCCCAGGGACCTCTGCCCAGGGCGCCGCTGGCCGTCTCTCCTTCAGCCTCGTCCCTGCTCAGTTACACACACCAGGGGCATGCCTGTCCCTTCCCGCCTCCTGTGCCCACTGTGGGCTCCGTACAGACTGTCTCACCTCCTCCCGGGGCCGGGGCGTGGGCGGGAGGAGGCCACGCAGTGCACAGGGGATTGCACTGGCTGCTCCTCAGACACGGCGCATGGCGGGTGGCGCGGGAACGTGTGGACTTGCTTAGGCTCTGCCTCTGGGTCGGCACCTGGTCCACTCACTCATGGTCAAGTGGTCAGTCATTACGATCCACGCTGGCCAGCAGACCCCAGCCCATCAGGGGGTCCTGCAGGCCCACGTTCCCCTATGGCCTCCCGAAGACCCTGGCCTGTCACGGAGCTCATCACAGGGCTGAGTGCCGTGGTCCTCCCTCCTCACTGCCCTCCTCGCTGTGCAGACACTGGCCCAGGCCCTGCCAGCTCCGGGTCACGCACCGGCTCCAATACTGTGCTCTCCTCGCCTCCGGCCGCTCCAGGTGAGTAAAGCAATGGTGACAGCACAGCTGCCCGCACCGTCCTTGGAAATGCCATTGGCATTGAGGCAGGCCCTGCACCCACCCTCCAGGGCCCCACAGCCCGGAATCAGCTGCACGCTGCTGGGCTGATTCTGCAGCCTGTCTCCCCTTTCCCCCCTCTGCCCCCCCCAGTCCCGCCCCTCTCCTCCAGCCTCTGTGGGGCTGAGATTCCGAGTCCTGGAATCTGCTGACTGTCCTGCTTGTCCCCATTCAATTGCTCGCTGGGTGGAGGGCTGCATGGCCTCTGGTTCAGGGGCCAGCAGCCCGGCTTACCTCCCCTCCGCGTCCTTCCCTCTCTTGCAGACTTACTTCATTCCCAAATGGCACCTTCCTTTTACCAACTTTTCCTAGTGACTAGCCTCTGGGCTGCGATGTATGGTGTGTCCCCACCCAGCGCCCCCTCAGCGGGGGGCCTCCCGGCCTCCCAGGTGGCCGCCAGCAACACCGCCTTCGCCCTCCGCCTGTACCGGAGGCTGGCGCTGGGCGCCCCGGGCGAGAACGTCTTCTTCTCCCCGGTGAGCGTCTCGGCCGCGCTGGCCATGCTGTCCCTGGGCGCCCGCGCGGCCACCAGGCGCCAGCTGCTCCGGGGCCTGGGCTTCGACCCCGCGCGCCTGCCGGAGGCGGCCGTGCAGCAGGGCTTCCAGCGCCTGGTGGGCGCGCTCGGTGCCCCGCGCGCGGGCCTGGCCCTGAGGATGGGGAGCGCCGTCTTCGTCAGCAAGGAGCTGCCGCTGCGGGCCGGCTTCCGGGATGGCGCCCGGCGGCTGTATGGCGCCCAGGTCTCCTCCGTGGACCTCTCCAGCAGCTCCGCCGCCCGGAGGAGGATCAACAGCCTCGTGGAGAAGGAGACCCAGGGGAAGGTTGTGGACCTGATCCGGGACCTGGAGCCCCAGGCCGCCATGGTCCTGGTGAACTACATCTTCTTTGACGGTAAGACACGGAGAGGCTGGTTTGGATGGTAACGTTGTTCCTCCCCAGTCCGGTCAGGTAAGCCAGCTGGACGGACGCGGGACGGCCGGGAGCAGGGGCCCACGGTGGGACTGGCTTTGGGACCAGCTGGGTGCATGACCTTGGCCATCCCGGTTTATCAAGTACAACGGGCTCCTTCGCTCCGTCTGTGTGTGGCCGGATTGTGTCCTGGGGGCTCACATCAGGCTCCTGGGCAGCCCACGGGAAATTTTTTTCTGGAAATGACCTTGGGAGAAAGGACCGTATCTCCTGGCCCTGCCTGTAACTTTTCTGTTTGAAAAAGTTACTATTGTCAGTTTCTTTAATAGATATATTCCCATTGTGTACTACTCCTTGTGGGAGTTTTGGCAAATCACGTCTTTCAAGGGATTGGACCATTTCATTGGTTATCGCCGTGGTGGGCACAGAGCTGTTCACAGCGCTCCTTTATTCTCTTCCTCACGTCCACAGGCTCTGGAGTGGCGTTCCTTCTTTCACTCCTGATGTCACCGCTTTTATTCCTGAGTGTGGTCCATACTTAGTTCCTCTATAAGCCAAATACGTTTTGTTGTAAAGGCTGGATTTTTAAAATACTGTAACGTGGCAGCTCTGAAATTCCGATTCTCACCCCCTGCCAAGGGTTTGTCTCATGGCTTGTGGCAGGAACTGTGTTTGGTGCTTTTGCCGAACTAGTTTTTAGTCTGTTCTTGGTCATGTGTGGCCGCTGACGTCTCCTCTTGGTTATTGAGATGCTCAGCTATGACTGGGCAGAGGTTTCTGAGATGCCTGGCACACACAAGCCTCCCATCTCTGCAGAGGCCTTTGTGTGTACAGTGGGCATGCCATCAACACCCATCAAGGCAGCTCATAACTCTAAGTCCCCATTCAGTTTCTGTTTGTGCCAGCCTTCAAGGGCCCCTGGAGGTAAGAGCTTACAGCCGTCCATGTAGCGTTACACGTGTTCGTTTCACACATCCATGTAGCGTTACACGTGTGCACCGGAGCTTTTCAGTTTCCATGGACTTCTCTTTCCTTGGCTTTTTCTTCTAGATTTTTTATTCGTCTGTTGTTTGTCCCATCTGCTATCCTGCTCCAGGCAACTGAGAAGCGGAAGCACTTGCCTTTAAGTGCTCCTCACAAAGGCTGCCTGGCCTGGGGGACACGTGCTTTTCCGCTGAGTGAGCCCCAATCCACTGGCCAGTGGGGTCTCCCAGGAACCATTACAGTCCAATCATTGTGAGCCCTTGGGAATGAAGCTTGGAGACTTCTTCCTGTCTGTTCCTCTCCCCCAGGCACTCGGAACACAGTCTGCTCAGCTAGAGAGAGGAGGGTGAGAGTAATACAAGTTAAAATGCCACACAGTTTACTGTTCTCATGGAAATTCGGCCATTTTTCTTGAATGGTCTCTCCCAGGTTACCGGGAGCCCTTGCTGAATTCCCCGAGTTCCGCAGAAGCCGGCTCTGGCTGTTTCTGCCGCTCTCCTGCTGCCTTTACGGCAGGGTGACTATGCAGAGGCCCTCACCCTGCACTTTTCAAATGCCACCTCCCCCACCACCCTCTGTCTGTCCTAACAAGCCCTTTGGTTAATCGATGGCTATCTCCAGCCTCAGAAAGCCGCACAATTTGTCAGCGCCGGTAACCCTCTTTGACTAATTTTCCCAAGGAAATGGTGTTTTGCACTGGTTGAGCTCCCAAGCAGACCCAATAGGACAGCTTGCCAGTTAAAATACCACACAGCTGACCATTCTTACAGACATGTAGCTGTTTTTCTTCAATAAATGGCTTCTCAGTGAGCCGAAGGCAGTGGGTTAGCTTCCAGAGTTGTAAAACTGGTCATTTTAGCCACTGTGGGGAGTTTCCTCTCTGTCTTCATGCTCTGCCTTTCACCTCAGTAATGTAAGGTGACCAGACGGCCCGCTTTTGGCGAGACAGTCCCGCTTTTGAACAATTTGTCTTGCTTCCTGCGGCGTTATAGAAAAGTCCCGATTTTTGGAAAGAATCTTACACCGATGGCGCTGTGACCCAGGACTCTGCTTCTCTCTCTGTGCAGCCCAGTGGGAGAAGCCCTTCAACCCTGCGTACACGAGTAACATGTACCCGTTCGTGGTGGGCAGGACCACGGTGAGGGTGCCCATGATGCACCAGGTGGAGCAGTTTGCCTTCGGGGAGGACCCGGAGCTGAACTGCTCGGTGCTGCAGATGGACTACCGGGGGGGCGCCGCGGCCCTCTTCGTGCTGCCCCGCCCCGGCGGGATGCGGCAGCTGGAGCAGGCCCTGTCCGCAGCCACCCTGGCCAAGTGGAGCCGCTTACTCAGGAAGAGGTGGGCACCTGTGGCTGTTGGCTGGGGCCCGAGGCAGGGGACGGGGAGCGTCCGAGGATGAGCAGAGACCGCGAGGCAGCTGAGCGAGCATCTCCCCTGCAAAGCGAGCACCGCCGGCTGCAGGCAGGGCGCGGCGCCGGGCGTGAGTTCTCACTGAGCTTCACGGGCCCCTGGCGGGTGAGGAGAGCTGTCCCCCCCTCACAGGCCCGGAAACAAAGGCCCCCGAGGGGGAGTGAATTACCCAAGGCCACGGCGCACCCTGCCTCTGAGGACTGTTCTGAAACTGCAGCCGCTCCGTGCCGGTGGAGCCCACCCCCTCCGCCACCAGGCTGGCGCATGCCAGGGCAGCTTCCGTAAAGACAGACAAACCCCATCACAAATGAGGGTGATAACATCACTGAGCTCAGAGGATGCTGAAAAGATAAAACGAGTTCCTTTTTACCAAGGGCTGAGCAGAATGCCAGGGAGAGAGTAAGTGTCCAGTCGATGTCAGCTATGATAGCATTATGATCAGTTCTGTGGTTATTATGGGGAGGATCCAAGGATGCCAATCATAAGATAAAAAGGAGTCTTACGTCTGACCTCTTAGCAATATCATCCAGGAGGAGAGAAAAGACTGGATCGGAGGTACTGTAGTTCAGAAAAGACAAAGGTCAATGCCAGGGCGGGGCAGGCAGAGTGCTGAGCAGCTTCTGAGCAAAGCGAGGTGACTTCCAGCTGGGGCTGAGGGGAGCCTGCAAGGAGGCGGCGGTTTGCCCCACAGGAATGAGAGAACAGGAGGGTGAGGGAACTCACAGGGGCTGGGAAAAGGCCTGCTGGCAAAGGGAGCAGCACTAGGAAGGTGTGAAGTGGGGGCTCGAGAGACACTGCAGAGTGTTTCTCAGATTTCTTCGGTTCGTAGCTTGCAACCGGGGCTGGATGGAGGCAGAGGAGCCAGCGTGGGGGTGTCCTTAAAGAGACAGGGCAGAGAGAGGAGGAAGCTGGCCAAGCCAGCCAGTGCAGGACACAAGGCAGGGAAGCGAGAGCTGCCCACTGTGCTCAGGTACAAAGAACCCACCAGTGAGCAGCACCACCCTCTGTGCTTCCCTTTCTGTGCCTTGTTAAGCACACGCCTGGGCAAAGCACTAACAGTAAGCTTTCCCACCACTGACACGGACAGGACGTTCCTGAGTGTGCCTGAGGCAGTGCCTGGCACACAGTATGTTCACTCCTGGTTCAGGGACACTATGCCAAGGGGGGCAGGCAAGCGCCAGACCCAGGGCTGTGCTAACATAGCAGCCAGCAGCCACGTGTGGTTATTAGATTTAAGTTAATGAAAATAAACTTAAAAATGTAGTTTCTTCTTGGCCCTAGTTGCATTTTAATTGCTCCATCGCCACACGTGGCTGGTGGCTGCCGTACGGACACCACGGACAGAGGATATTCCCAACTGTGCAGGAAGTTCTATTGGACTTGGCTGCCCACAAGGGTCAGCAGCGTCTGTCTCCGGAAGGGCTGGGGGTGGCCTCTGGCCTGGGAGGAAGGCTCCCTGCCATCACTGCTTGGCCTCTGCCACAGGGTCCCGGGTTGAGGACCCTTCTCTGCCCTGCCCCTCCCTCTCTAGGGGCCTGTTTGCCCTCTCTGTCCTCCTCAGGGCTGGGCGTGCTCCCCTTCAGCTCAGCCTGGCTGGCTGACTGGCACCTGCTGGCCCTTCAGCAGCAGCCAGCAGGCCCTCGCGGGAGCAGAGTCTCCTGAAACGCCACCGGGAACAGCTGGGACCGGGCCTGTGCCCTCACCTCTGCCTTTCCCTCCTCCCAGGTGGATAGAGGTGTTCATCCCTAAGTTTTCCACTTCTACCTCCTATGACCTGGAGACCGTGCTCCCCAAGATGGGCATCCAGGACGCCTTTGACCAAAATGCCGATTTTTCTGGAATCGCCAAGAAAGGCTTCTTGAAAGTTTCCAAAGTGAGTTGGTCAATGAGAAGATTCGCATCGAAGCCCGAGTGGAAAGGGCCCCTAGAGACCCACTGCTCGAGTCACTCACCCCCTGACCCGGAAACAGAGTCGCCAAGAGGCGAAGAGACTTGTCTGTGGCCGAGACAGGCCACATGGCATGGCGGCCCGGCCTGCCGCTCCGTGGCCATCACACCTCCCACACGCCATTACCCCTCACTGGACAAGTGTTGGGCGGCAGTCCCCTGAGAACAGCCCCGCCTGCACCTGCTGCAGATGAGCAGGTGCCCGGCATTGCCCCCCACCTCCCCGGAGCCCAGGCCCTCACACCGACCCGAACGTGGCTGCCCACGGGCATTAGTGCCCTGTGATGTCAATCAAGAAAGAAAAATAGTAAGAGAGGGAGCTGACCTCCAGAGTGTAGGATATTGGACCTAACCATTCATATTTCTGATTCTCTTAAAACAAATCATTGAGCCCAATTCCCAAGTAGTCAGACCAAACCTCTACACACGATGGGCACTGGGCCGTGAGCACCCTTTACGTGCAGGGCACCGTCCAGGTTCCCCATGGACCCCTCGCTTCTCGTCCCCCTGGGTTACCGAACGCCTGTCTGCATGTGTTTCTGACCCCTCACCTAACGTTTATTCTCCTAACAGATTACAATGCTCAGGAGTGGCCCTGGGCCACTGAACAGGCCCTTTGTCACTGGTGTCCAGGGAAGGAGTACAGATTCCACAGGATATGATGGGCAGCTCGGGCCGGGTGGTTCAGTGGGTTGGAGTGTCATCCCATACACCAAAAAGGCTGTGGGTTTGGCTCCTGTACAGGAACCTAGGTTGTGGGTTCAACTCCCTGGCAAGGGGTACTTGGGAGGTAGTAGTCTCTCTATCTACCCCCCTCCTCTCTCTCTAAATCAATAAACATGTGGTTGGGTGAGGATTAAAAACATGATGAGCACTAGGGACCCATGTGCACACACGAAAACAATGACTGTAGCTGCTCGGAGGTCCAGGCCTGAGGCTGAGCGGAGCAGGAGCCCAGTGTAAGGGCCTCTTGGCCACAAGAGGCGTAGAGGCGGTAGTCAGCCACACCCCGCTGCCATGGCCCCGCCCGGCTGCGGCCATCAGTGTGGCAGGCACACTTCCTGGATCTCCTTCAATTCGCCACAGCCCGTGGGACGCATGCAGTTATTACCGTCCTTCCGTCCATCTGGAGAGTGAATAAATAGCTTGCCACCATGCATGGCGGAATGGGACTCACACCTAGGTCTATCTGGGCTGTACTGGTAACCAGCCAACTCCATGCCTGAGACCACGGCAAACCTCCGGCCAGGCATTAGGCCTCTAGGGGGAGGGGGACAGCGGGGGGAGCAGAGGTGTCCCCATTCCCAGGCAAAACACCAAAGCCTGGTATTTTTAAACCACGTGGGCGTCTGTTTTTCCCTCGGCAGGTGGCCCACCAGGCGGTGGTGGAGGTCAGCGAGGCGGGCACCAAGGCCGCGGCGGCCACGGCCACCCAGCTCACCACCCGCTCCAAGGACAGCTCCCCCCGCACCGTCTGCTTCAACAGGCCCTTCCTGCTGCTGATCGCCAGCAGGGCCGCGCAGACCACGCTCTTCCTGGGCAAAGTGCAAGACCCCACCCGGTTCCCGGCGGGGAGAGGCCTTCCGCGGAGGACACACAAACAGGCCACGTAACGGCGCACCGGAAATGCACAGGCCGCGGCTCACTGCGCTGTGGGACCCAGCGCGGGCCCACGGCGGGCCCACGGCGGGCTCTCACACGATGGTAGGCGTAGCAGACCCCCGGGCCTGGCCCAGGTGTCCTTGGGTGTGACCTTGAGCGTCCACGGCTCCCACCTGGGCTTAGCTGTGCCTCACAGTCAGTCAGCCTGGGAGGGCGGAGCTGTCCCCCGAGGGCTCTCCATGGGAACCACTGCGCCAGCCCCGCCAGCTTCCTCCTGCTGCCTGGCTGCGATTAAACACTCTTCCCAACAGCCGTGTGTTCGTTATAAAGAGGACACGTGCTCTCTGTGAGACGTTAGGAGAATGCAAAAGTAGACAAAGACATAAAAGCCACTGCATTCGTCACCTAAAGACTCTCTCATAAACAAGTATTCATCTGGTTCTAGCATGGCTCTAGAACTGGGGACCCACGGTGAGCAGGTCCATGATCCACTTTATGGGCTCTTGGGAGAGGGGAGGGGAGGGAGGGAAAGGAGAGAGAGGGGAAGGGGAGGGGAAGGGAGGGAGGGAAGGAGAGAGAGGGAAAGGGGAGGGGAAGGGAGGGAAGGGGAGGGGGGGAAAGGGGAGGAAGGGGAGGAACTTTCTCTGTTTTCTGAATTCCCTCCCGGCTTTTCCCTGCACACGGACTCTGAGTATTTGAAGTCTCAGGGGAGCACTGAGTGGGCAGAGGTGAGGGCCTTGGCTGGTCAGAGAGAGGGCAGACTGTCCCTGAGTGGCCCCAGCACCCGGTTACGGCATCCAGTGAAGTTCACAGGCCTCGGTTTCCCTTCGGTAAAGTAGGGACGACTGTGCCTCTCACACCCCTTTTCTCCGTTTACTGGGCAACTCTCGCCCACATCACCGCATGAGTCTAAGGGGCACGGCAGGGTGGACTGGGTCAGTCCCATGTGCTGTGCACGCCGACAGGCGCAGGCTGAGTTAGCAACTCGCATTCCCAGACGAGGGTGCTGCTTAGAGACCGCTGCCCGGAGCTCACAGCGCCTGCAAAGGATGAACAGCAACCTCCCTGACGCCTGCCTTCAGCAGTGCAGGCCAGCGGGTCAGAGGGCCAGCGGGCAGCACCGTGTCAGAGGGCCAGCCGTGAGCACCCGTGTCAGAGGGCCAGCCGTGAGCACCCGTGTCAGAGGGCCAGCCGTGAGCACCCGTGTCAGAGGGCCAGCCTGCAGCACCGGGTCAGAGGGCCAGCCTGCAGCACCGGGTCAGAGGGCCGCCCAGCAGCACCGGGTCAGAGGGCCAGCCTGCAGCACCGGGTCAGAGGGCCAGCCTGCAGCACCGGGTCAGAGGGCCGCCTGCAGCACCGGGTCAGAGGGCCGCCTGCAGCACCGGGTCAGAGGGCCGCCCGGCAGCACCGGGTCAGAGGGCCGCCCAGCAGCACCGGGTCAGAGGGCCGCCTGCAGCACCGGGTCAGAGGGCCAGCCTGCAGCACCGGGTCAGAGGGCCGCCCAGCAGCACCCGTGTCAGAGGGCCAGCCGTGAGCACCCGTGTCAGAGGGCCGCCCAGCAGCACCGGGTCAGAGGGCCGCCCAGCAGCACCGGGTCAGAGGGCCAGCCTGCAGCACCGGGTCAGAGGGCCGCCCAGCAGCACCGGGTCAGAGGGCCAGCCTGCAGCACCGTGTCAGAGGGCCGCCCAGCAGCACCGTGTCAGAGGGCCGCCTGCAGCACCGGGTCAGAGGGCCGCCCAGCAGCACCGTGTCAGAGTCCCCGCCAGTCCAGCGGGTCCAGATTACACTCGCCGTCTGCAGCCGGCGCGGAGGGCGGGATGGACACTGGGGGAAAGAGGCGCCTTGCTGTCTGCTGTGCATGGTCTTCACCCGGTTCCGGGAACTGGCCGGACAAATATTGACCCGGCCGCTGTGACCACACACCAGTCTCCTGTGGTCAGAGGCCGCGCAGCACGCAGGACCAGGCCCGGCCGTGCCTCTGTGAGTCCATGCGCGGGGACTGAGGGCAGGTCCCTCTCTCTCTCTCTCTCTCTCTCTCTCTCTCTCTCTCTCTCTCTCTCAGCAGGGATGGGAGGGCCGAGTCCCCCTAAAGGAGAAACGCCATCATGTACTCTTCTAAGGTTTGAAGGAGGAAGCTCAGGTTTTGAATAGCCTCTGTGAGGAAGTTGGCTTCCACATTTCTGAGAGGAGCCCCAGTGCTGCTGGCAGCCAGACGGGCAAACAGAACAACACGGCCCCAAGCCCAGCACCTGTCCTAGGAGCCCTGTGGCTTGAAAGGGCCCCTGGGAGCTAGTCTGAGTCTGGCCGCTCCTTCTCCCACAGGGGCCCTGCCCCATCTCGGTGTCTCCATGTGCCTGCCCAGCAGGGGTGCTAATGCCCGTGGCTGAAGGCTCTCCGCCAATGGCAGGGCACGCAGCAGGCATTTCTCAGTGGCATCTGGGCAGGACCGCTCCTCGGCACCCAGGAAGCCGGCGTTTCAGAGCGCCCTGTCTCCCGCTGCACCCCTGCCCCATCTGAGATGGCCCCAGACCCCCCCCTCCGCACTCCCCTCCCCTGCACGGAGGACACCTCCTGAGGCCCCCCCACGAACACACGGGCCGGGAGCACACGGCAGCTACTGAGGGAGCGCTGCGGTCCGCTGGGCTCTGGACGGGGGCGGCAGGTTGGGGTCACCCCGCTCGGCGGAGGGAGAGGCGCGCACTGCGCACGCTCCTGTGCCCTGCGCCGGCGCCAGGCCACTGCGGGTCCTGGCAGCCCAGGTGGCCGCCCGGAGGCGGGCATTGCCATTTGCATTTTGCACGCGGGTTCCTCTGGCTGGGAGAGGCTCCTTGGCAGGTGTCACTCAGTGAGTGGCTGCGGGGCCTTGATCCAGACCCAGGCCCTGGCGGTGGCCTGTCCCCTTTGGGAGTCCGGGACGCCTGGAGAGGAGGTAGGAATGGTGGTCCACTCCTCGGGGCAGGGAGAAAAAGGCCCTGGCAGTTTCGTCATAGTTGTATTTCCTATTTCCCCCTCGAGCAGACCAAATTTTCAACTACTCTATCCCTCTCAAAAGAAAGTGCATGGTGAGCAGAGAGGGTGGTTAGTGGGTGGTTAGCAGAAAGGATGGTTAGGGGGTATTTAGCAGAGAGGGTGGTTAGCAGAGAGGGTGGTTAGTGGGTGGTTAGCAGAGAGGGTGGTTAGGGGGTATTTAGCAGAGAGGGTGGTTAGTGGGTGGTTAGCAGAGAGGGTGGTTAGCAGAGAGGGTGGTTAGTGGGTGGTTAGCAGAGAGGGTGGTTAGCAGAGAGGGTGGTTAGCAGAGAGGGTGGTTAGTGGGTGGTTAGCAGAAAGGATGGTTAGGGGGTATTTAGCAGAGAAGGTGGTTAGCAGAGAGGGTGGTTAGGGGGTGGTTAGCAGAGAGGGTGGTTAGTGGGTGGTTAGGGGGTGGTTAGCAGAGAGTGTGATTAATCAGCCGCAGCGGCTGAGCTGCAGACAGGCCATGGCCTTGGAGCCAGGCAGCCTCTGACCAGCACAGCGTTTCAACATCACTGACCGGGCGGCTGCCTTCATTTCCTGACGCTGGCCTGGGGTTCGGGGGGCACTGAGGGCTCTGTAAGCACCTGCAGAAATACGGTCTCCCACACACCGTGCGCTGGCAGTCTACCCAGAGGCCACTGGTCTGGGCAAATGGCACGCGGGTGCTGGTGAGGACACCCCCCAATCAGGACAGATGGACAGGCCGGCCAGGATGGACAGGGCGGTGCTCTCCTCTTTGTGGGCGCGGAGGCTGGCGGCCGCTGTGCTGTGAGACGGGGTGTGGAGACCCCAGAGGGGAGGGGCACTAGATGGGGCAGCTTCCCTCAAGCTGAGCCGCGCGGGGCTGGAGCAGGGCGCTGCTCTGCCTCCGCTGGCCCTCAGCGTGGAGCTGCAGCGGGAGAGGCGCTGGACAGAGGCCTCTGCGTCACAGCCCAGGACCACAGGCCAGACGGCCTCAACCACAGGAATGCACTGTCCCCTGGTTCTGGAGCCAGAATGCCAAGGTCAAGGTGTGGGCAGGGCTGGTCCTTCTGGAGCTGGGGACGCCGAGCGGGCCTCTCTGAGCCTCTGGCTGCTGCTGAGACGCCTGGCTTCCCGGGCTGTCCACCTCTGCCTCCCTCCCCCAGCGTCCTCCAAATGTGGCCAGCTCTGTTCCCCTTGTTGTCAGGACGCGGTCTGACTGGGTCAGGGCCAGCAATACTCACTGCCACCACGTCCTAAATGTCCCCTCACGAGTTCTGAGCATCATCCTCATCTCGTTAAAGCTCGATGGAGTGGAGGAATGAGTGGAAAGAAGGGAGAAAGGGGAGGGACGGAGGGAGGGAGGGAGGGAGCCATGGAAGTTGCTTTTATAACCCAGAATCCTGTTCTCAGCAGCATCCTGTAACGTATCAATGTGCAGAGCAGATAAAGGGCCCCCATCTGACTGAGGCTTGGGGGAGTGTCCTGAGCCCGGCTGCTCGCCCTCCCTCCCCCTCCGCAGGGCCCCCCAGACCCTGTGGGACAGTCTGGATGGGAGGTTTGCGGGGGGAGCAGTGGGGAGCGGTGACGTCATTTAGAGAGTGCCGTGTTGAACCCCTTGTTTCCAGAGGATGGAGCCGGCCTGGCTGTGGCTGCTGGGAGCAGGGATCCTGGCCTCCGTCCATGGAGACAAGAGTCCGGGGCTGCCTCCAGCCCCCGGGGGTGGGCTCCCGGAGCCAGCGCCCGCCTACCACCGAGTCACACCCACCATCACCAGCTTCGCCCTGCGCGTGTACAAGCAGCTGGCCGCGGAGAGCCCGGGCAACATCCTCTTCTCCCCGGTGAGCGTGGCCAGCGCCCTGGCCCTGCTCTCCCTCGGGGCCCGAGCGGACACCTCGGCCCAGATCCTGCAGGGCCTGGGCTTCAACCTCACGGAGACCCCGCCGGCCAGCGTCCACCGCGGCTTCCAGAGCCTCATCCACGCGCTGGACCTGCCCAGCCCCAAACTGGAGCTGAAAGTGGGCCACGCCCTGTTCCTGGACAGGCAGCTGAAGCCGCGGCAGCGCTTTCTGGACGCCGTCAGGGAGCTGTACGGGGCCTCCGCCTTCTCGGTGAACCTCACAGACTCTGCGGCGGCCCGGAGGCACATGGACCACTACGTGCGGAAGCAGACGTACGGGCAGGTGGTGGGCTGCCTGCAGGACCTCAGCGAGGACACGCCCATGGTGCTCCTGAACTACATCTTCTTCAAAGGTGAGTGCCAGCCTGGCAACCGGTCCTCCGCCTCGGCCCCGCCCTCCAAGCCACCATCCTAAAGTCACAGCTGTTTTTAGGGCGGCGACCCCTGCATCCCATATAATGAAAGGCTAATATGCAAATTGACTAAATGGCTGGTCGTTATGACCCGCACTGACCACCAGGGGACAGACGCTCAAAGCAGGAGCTGCCCCCTGGTGGTCAGTGCACTCCCACAGGGGGAGTGCGGCTCAGCCAGGAGCTGGGCTCACGGCTGAGGAGCACGGGGGTGGCAATGCTAAGGATTTCCGACTGCCGGCTTAGGCCCACTCCCAGCAGGGGCTCCTGGACTGCGAGAGGGCACAGGCTGGGCTGAGGGACCTCCACCCCCGAGTGCACAAATTTCATGCACTGGGCCTCTAGTATTTTAATAATGTTCTTATATCACTACTTCTTCATTTGCAAATATTTGGTTTCTCTTGCCATGTTTTTTTTCCTATTCTATTTTTATTCTGATTCTTTTTGTTACACTTAGTCTCGCTTTTCTATTAATCGTTTAATTTTAGAAAAATATTTTATTTATTTATATATATATTTTTTATTTCAGAGAAGAATGAAGAGGGAGAGGGAAATAGAAACATCAATGATGAGAGTCATCGCTCAGCTGCCTCCTGCATACCCCCTACTGGGATTGAGCCCACAACCCCGGCACATGCCCTAACTGGGAATTGAACTGTGACCTCTTGGTTCATAGGTCAACGCTCAACCACTGAACAACAGTGGCTGGGCAAATATTTTATTATTTATATTATTATTATTTACTTCAAACTACAAAAATATACAAAAAATAATATAAAACCATCATTCATTCCTCCCACCAAGAATGAGCACATTAGCATTTTACCATTTGACTCAGACTTTTTAAAAATATGATAAAGTTCAATCTCTTATTAATGCTTTCCTAATCCCCTTTTCTTCCCTCTGTCCCTCCCGAAGGCTGGCACTGGCCTCGGGCGGGTGTGTCCTCCTCACCTCCGTGCGCTCCCTGAGCTCATTAGGGTGTGTACATCTTCTGTGACACACTGTGTGTGTAACGATTTCACCCAGACGCTCTTGTCCAGTGTACATTATCTCACACTTATGTTTTAGTGTCATTACCATGTCGTGATTTATATGGACAATTTTGACTGTTGCATTGAACATGTCACACTTTTAGGATTTTTTTTTTTTAGTTCAGTTATTTCCTGCATTCGTACATATATCTTTATACCTTTCAGCCTTTTGTGTTTTTCCCTCATGTTTTTTCCTGTTCCGAGGCCCCACCCATGACCTGCTTACACTCAGTCATGCCGATGGAGGCTCCTCGTGGCGGGGACGGCTTCTCAGCCTTCCCTTGCTTCTCATGGCCATGCCGACGGGAGGAGCATGGCAGGGGGTGGGCAGAACACCCCTCAGGGGGGACTTGTGTGATGTGTTTCCCATGAGGAGGGCTGGGGGGGCGGACTCGGGCGGGTTATGAGAAGAGACAGTTCCCTGCAGGCAGGGCTGCACGTGGTTGTGGATGAGGAAAAGGCCGTCACAGCTCAGGGGGAAACGCACTCTGCAGGAGGAGGTGTGGCGCCTGGCTTGCAGGGACCCTCGCCCAGACATGGGCAGTGGCGGAGGCTCTGGGAGAGGAGGAATCTAAGGTGGACGTGAGGAGTGAGCCTCTGGGAACGGGGGGAAACATCAGAAGCTGCAGGAGGGGCGGAGAGAAGGGCTTTCAGAAGAGACAGCAGCATAGGCAGACGCCTGAGCTAGAGAGACACCACGCGCTCTCAGGAGTGAAGCACACCGGCCGGACTGACACAGAGGGTGTGGGGCATGGCTGGGCAGTGCGAGAGCTGCGGGAGAAGATGAGCCGGAGCTGTGCCGAGTCCTGGTCTGTCTCTGGGACCCAGGGTTCCCGCACAGCTGGGAGAGGGCGGGGCAAGCCCACATCTGCTGGGAGGAAGACCAGTGTGGCTGCAACGTGGAAAATGGGGGAAAGTGAGGCTGGAGAGACAAGGCAGGGCGCTCTTAAAGTGGAACCGAGTGAGAAAGAGGGTGGCCTTGGATACGGCTGCGGCTGCGGGGAGAGGACCGGCGACACTTGGTCATTGGTTGGGAGTGGACAGCGGGGACTGGACAAGCCAGCCCCTCCCCCTTCGCCAAGGCCAGGGCTTTCAAGAGGCCAAGTCAGGACAGGCTGTGAGTGGAGACTGTAGCGAGAGAGATGATACCACAGCTGGATGGGACCACGAGCACCGGATTCTGCATGCCTAACTGTGCCTGATGGGGCTTCTGCATTATGCATTTCAGTTATTAACGGAATTCTTCCCTTGTTCCAGTCTGAATATTAGGGAGTTGGGAGGGAGGGGGTGACCCCCGTCTTCTTTGTTGAAGATTGTTGTCTGCAGGCAGCTGGACGGGGGCTCTGCTTGCAAACATGAGCTGTGGGGCCAGAGGCAGCCTTGATTTCGGCTCCGGCACTGAGTGGGTCTGTACATGGAGGGAGTTTGCCCACATTCCCAAGGCTCGGTCCTCCTCTCTGACCCCGAGACGATAATCCTCGCTTACTGCGAATGCTGGGGGAGGTACAGAGAGAATGCACTGCACAGGGAAGGTGCTTAGGAGGTAGATTGAAATAGGACTTTCTGCCTCCTGAAAGCTACGTTGTTCTGAAGGAAAGGAAATCACTGGCCATTAGGAGTTCAGGCCATGGATGAGTCCTGGGGACTGAGCCGGACCTGCATCCTGTCTCCTGAGCCTGTGACTGTGCCTTAGATTGTTCCCCGGAGGAAGGCACCAGGCAGTGGCTTAGCATCTGTCTGCCCGGTGCTGCCTTGGAGTGTGTCCTCACGGACCTGCGGGTTCCGTGTCCTCACCATCCTATGGGTTTTGTGTCCTCCTGGTTCTAAGGGTTCCGTGTCCTCACGCACCTGCGGGTTCCGTGTCCTCACGCACCTGCGGGTTCCGTGTCCTCACGGACCTGCGGGTTCCGTGTCCTCACCATCCTATGGGTTTTGTGTCCTCCTGGTTCTAAGGGTTCCGTGTCCTCACGCACCTGCGGGTTCCGTGTCCTCACGCACCTGCGGGTTCCGTGTCCTCACGGACCTGCGGGTTCCGTGTCCTCACCATCCTATGGGTTTTGTGTCCTCCTGGTTCTAAGGGTTCCGTGTCCTCACGCACCTGCGGGTTCCGTGTCCTCACGCACCTGCGGGTTCCGTGTCCTCACGCACCTGCGGGTTCCGTGTCCTCACGGACCTGTGGGTTCCGTGTCCTCACCATCCTATGGGTTTTGTGTCCTCACGGACCTGCGGGTTCCACGTCCTCACGGACCTGCGGGTTCCGTGTCCTCACCATCCTATGGGTTTTGTGTCCTCCTGGTTCTAAGGGTTCCGTGTCCTCACGCACCTGCGGGTTCCGTGTCCTCACGGACCTGCGGGTTCTGTGTCCTAAGCCAAGTGGAAGCATCCTTTCCATCGCTACCAGCCCCAGAAGCAGGAGAGCTTCTCGGCGAACGAGAGGCCGCCGCTCCGCGTGCCCATGATGCAGCAGAAGGAAATGCACAGGTTCCTGTACGACCCGGAGCGGGCCTGCACGGTGCTGCAGGTGGAGCACAGTGGCAATGCGCTGGCCCTGCTCGTCCTCCCGGACCCGGGCCGCATGCAGCAGGTGGAGGCCGCTCTGCAGCCCGAGACGCTGCGGACATGGAGCCAGCTGCTCCTGCCCAGGTAAGGGAGAGGTCAGGACTCTGCCCGCCCTGGGGCAGGGCCGAGCAGTTCTTAGCTCCGGGTGCAAGAGGCCAGCCCTAGGCTAGGCTGGCCAGCGGGGGTCTTGGGCCACTTTCTGACCTTCTGGGCCTCGGATCTCCTCCCTGTACACTAGGGGTGTCGAACTCAATCAGAGAAGGGGCCAAAATCTAAAATCCAGCCTAAATCGCGGGCCGAATGGTTTACTGAACAGTCATAAACTGTCATTGTGATGGAAACGCAGCGGAGTGCAGTGATGACAGCGCGGTGCGGGCCACATTGCAAGGCCTGGCGGGACGGATTTGGCCCGCGGGCCTTGTGTTTGACACATGTGCTGTACACCGAGGCCCTGGCACAGGGCACGGGCTGTCGGAGGGTTAACTGAGCGGATGTGCACAGAGCGCTGAGGAGCGGCTGGAGCGGAGAAGAGCTCCAGGGGAGGGAGGGCTGCGTCCTTCTGGGCCTCCGGGCCTCGTGCTGCCCCACCTCCCTCCCTCGCTTCTCCTTGGTCCAAACCACGCTTTGTCAGAAGGTTGTCCGCTGTGGCGCAAAACCAGGGCAAGGACAACGACTAAGAAGAATTATGACTCCCACAGGACAGTGTCAATTTCTTAAAAGTGCCTCTCTTTGTTGATTAAGACCTTTCTTAAAGAAATGAAGCACCAAGAGGAGCACTGTAAACTAGATCCCAGTTTAATGGGGTCGCAGTCTGACCCCCTCCCGTCTCACTTGATTGCCGGTTTGCGGTTATCAGTTTCAGTCTTTTCCAGTTTGGCTAGACCCCTTCTAGCACCAACTCCTTCTTGGGGTGTATCGCCCCTTATGAGGCACCCCGGATGAAGGCTGGCCTTGGGTTCTAATGACCTCTGCTGCTAACAAACCACCCAGAATGGAGTGGCCTGGAAAACAACATCAGCCTGTCTCTCTCTTCTGTGTTGGCAGCCTAGCTGGGCAGTTCTGGCTGAGGATGGCTAGGACTGGGCATGAGCTCTCCTCTGGTGCCTGGGCGTGGAGGTGTCCCAGCTGAGGGCTGGGCAGGCATCTCTCTGTCTCCACGCAGCATCTCCATGCAGCTGCTGGGCCTTCTCTCTGTGTCCGTCCAGCATCTGCACAAGCAGCTCAGCGTCACTGATGCTGTCACATGGCAGCTCGGGCTCCAAGGAGGCCCGGAGCCAGAGCCTTGGCTGGAGGGATCGCTGCCTGTCCCGTCGGCCAGAGCAGTCACAGAATCCACCAGAGTCGGGGACAAACAAACCTCCCGACCCATCGCTAGCCTCCACCAGCCTTCGCTCAGCACCCACCACCCCGAGGTTCCGGGAGAGGAAAGGGGTTGTGTTTGGGCAGAGATTCAAGCACCAGATGGAAGAGGTGCGGGTCAAGGACAGAGGCCAGGGGCTAAGGATGTTTCTGTGAATACATAGCACCGGTCAGTTCTGAGTCCAGCCCATCAGCTCAGCTCCCTTGGGGTGAGCCCGCCCCACCCCATCTCATAGGATCTTCTAGACCAATAGGTTTTCCTTTGGGATGGGTCTGTTGTGACCTCTTAGCTTGGCCCTTCAAACCGCAAAACCAACCCAAGTGATTTTCCTAAATCTCAGAGGTGTCTCCAGCCAGAGTTATGATTTTAGAGGAGCATTTTAATGGGCTTTCAGCATGAAAGCTTCAGGCCTCCCCGTCCTCCCCTCCCCCTGCCCCTGGCCTGCTCCCTCCGTCCACTCGGCTGGGAGGCAGTTCGCTCGCCTGGGGAAGTCACACTTCCTGGTGACCTTCTCCGCTCACATCGGGTGGACACTGGGTGTGTCGGCAGCCTGCTGGACCCGCACTTGCCACAGTTCGCCATTTCTGGAGCCTGTAACTGGGAGAGATACTTCCCACAGCGGGCTCACCTTAGGAGCGACCTGCTGGGAGCCCCTGGGCGGCTGAACGGAACCATCTTCTAGGCACGGAGGCGACTCTACCCAAACCCCCCTCAAGGGTGGGGCCTGCCCCGCTCTCCACCTCCGTTTCCCCCTTTTCACAGTTTAACCCCAACTTCCGAGTGCCCCCACTTCACATGGGTGTCTGGGCCCCATACTGCCCAGGAGTTAGCGTGTGAGGACCCCCTAACCTGAGCTGGGTCTCCACGCTGGATTCATTAGAGGCCGGAGTGTCTGCGCTGGCTCTTCACCAGCCCAGCTTGCAGATCCCCCAGAAACTGTAGAGTAACTGAGGAGAGTAACCCCCAAAAGCAAGGACAGCTTTGCTCTGTGTTCAAAGAACCCACAGAGTGAACCCAGGAATGCTGGTCATGGCACGTCAGGAGAGGAGAGCCACGCTATGATGGGCGCCCACACTGGGGTCACAGCCCCTCATCAGCCCCGGAAGCTCACAGCGGGCGGAGGGCTTGTCCAGGGGTTGCCAGTAGATGGGTCTAGGAAGGCGTTCAGAGGGGAGGCCAGCAGAGCCTGCTGATGAGCAGACGTGGAAGTAGAATGTTAACCACAGTCGCCTTCACAGGGTAGTATGTGGGTCCGAGCAGTTCGCTGTGTAAACACGCTGGCCCAGTGCCGGGCGTCTGCAGAGCCCCCTCGCCATGCCGAAGAGGAGGACAGGGCGGTCAGACGGAGAGGCCTGGCGGCTCTGGGAAGAGGCACAGAGCTCTGCACTGTCCGAGGAGCAGGGCCGTGGCCGTGGGCTGTGGAATGTTCTGGCACAGCAGGCAGTGTCCCAGGAAGACTGGTTCCCCTCAGGAAGCACTCCTTCCTGCCAGCGGCAGGCCGCCCATGGCCAGGGCGGGCCCTCCCGTCTGGTTCTCTCCGCAGCCTGCTGGACCTGCACTTGCCACGGTTCGCCATTTCTGGAGCCTACAACCTGGAGGAGATTCTTCCCCACATCGGGCTCAGCAACGTTTTCAACTTAGGAGAGGACCTGCTAGGAGCCCCAGGGCGGCTGAACGGAACCATCTTCCGGGTATGGAGGTGATGGGCGGGCACGTGGGAGGGGCCTTCTCCCCCTGGACAGGAAGTGTAGCTTTGAAGATCAAGTTCTCCTTTCTCTTTCCCATTCCGGTTCTCTCACGCCACCACCTGTGAGGCTCCCTCTCCTGGCAGCGCCCTTCCCAGCTCTCTCTCCAGCCCCCAGAGCATGGAGACAGTCCGGAATAGAGAAGGCACACATTCAGGGCGCCCAGGAGCCTACGTGCTGGTGTGGGACAACTCTGCTCTGCCCCCCTCTCCCTCCTGGGCAGGCAGCGACTCCGCCTGCCTTCCTCAGAGCCAGGAGAGCAGGGGGCCAGCAGCACACACAGCAGGCTCCACGGAGCGCATGGGAACCGCTGACTGAGGCTGAGCAGGCCATTTTAGAGATGAGAAAACTGAGGCTTAGCGAGAGGAAGTGCAGCTGGTGGTGGCTCCCAGGGGCTGGGAACGTTCCGGAGGGCGCCTTTGGGTTTCTGCAGCCTGGCTCAGGCTCGCTGGTCTCCCCACCACGGAGCACATGCACCTTCAGACATGCAGGCAAAGATGGGGAGAGGAGGAAAAGAACAGGAGCTGGAGTTGCTGGGGGCCTGGGAGACCTGGGCAGGGGGCTCTGCCTGCCCTCCTGGTGTCTCCCGGGCCCGTCAGGAGAGGAGAGAGACACACTAGCGATGAGTCCCACAGACTGTGCCGTGGCGTGACCCAGCTGTCCCTGCCCTCCCTTCCAGGTGTCGCACAAGGCAGCCATGGACATGAGCGAGCGGGGAACCAAGGCCGGGGCTGCCTCCGGCCTCCTCTCCCAGCCCCGGCCTCTGAACGTGACGTGGGCCCCCGATGCCCGTTTCAACAGGCCTTTCCTGGTGCTGGTGTGGGAGGTGGCCACCCAGAGCTTACTCCTCCTGGGCAAGGTCGCCAACCCGGCTGCGGGCTGACGCAGGGGAGGCAGGCAGGTCCCGTAGCCCCTGCAAACCTGCAGGCCGAGGGCGGACCGTGCAGAGACTCCAATAAAGGTGCCTGGGTGCTGAGAGCACAAGGAGGGCGCCTCCCCGTTGCCCTTCATTCGCCCCACAATCCCCTTGAATCGGCGTCCCCTTCACCTGTGGTCACAAAGTTGACAGACGAGCTCCATGTACGCCCTATAAGATGTCCACGCCGCCACCACCAAGTGTCCCAGGTAAAGGCGCAAAGGACACTGGGAGAAGTCCGAGGCTCCCTTCACAGCGGCCATCACCAGCTCGAACGCAAAGCGAGGGCGTCCGGAAACGTCACTGCCCGGCGCCAGGGCAGGTCCCTGGGGAGGAGGGGGGTGCCAGGGCAGCACCTGGTACCATGCTCCATGCAGAGGAGGGTGGGAGGATGGGCCAGTGCACGAATGGGCCAGTCCAACACAGCAGTCACATGTCCAAGGGCAACCTAAGGTCAAAGGAAGTGGAGGGTTAACACGTACTGCAAGGCGGGGCCTGGGAGACCCGTGGTTAGTGGGAAGGACTGGGGCAGTATCTGGTCACCGCGAAGCATCCTGCAGAGGTCAGAAGTCCCTCACCCGCAAGAGTGTCCCTGAGTCTTAAAGAGGCATCTGCCTGGAACTGGGGGAGACAGAGGATGGCACCTCAGCTGTAAGCACAGGAAGATGGGCGGTTAGAAGGCGAGTGAGGCGCAGAGCTTCTCCTGGCGCAGAAAGCACAGGCACGAGAGCTTGCTGGTTGGCTCATATGTGGTCTGCACTAGTGGGTCAAGTTTCCAAGGCCAAGTGTCAAATTTAGTTTGTGGGCCACCTGATTGCAATCCCTACAAAGTGTTCAGGCCACTGAGCATTTAAATAAGTCAGGACAGCCTGGGCGGAGAAGCCCGTCTGCTTACACCAAACAGAGTGAGGTGAATGAGGCAATGCTGAATCACAGGAGTCTGTGGAGATGCCTCGATCAACTCTGTGTTTGCGGGGGGTGGGGGTGTTTGTCAAAGTAATGGGGATCCTCTGATGAAGAGGGATAAAGGGTAACTTACACCTGTGTCTGATCATCCACCATTTACACAGAGAGAAGCACAGAGAGGAAAACTCACACCCGCTGCCTGAAAGGCTGGTGCTGCCCCTGCTGGTTAGAGGGTGGCTGGTGCTCCCCTCTCCTCCCTGGAGGCTGGGCTGAGCTAACCCTGACTTTCAACAAGCAACCTTTTATGTAAATACAGCCCCACGCGATGTTAGGACACACTGCACTAAGAATGTCTGTCCATGTAGTTCCGGTGAACAGGGTGTGCTATATTCCCATTTGCTAAGCCCAGTAACCCAGGGAAGGGTGGGATGGCCAGCACTTACAAGGGGTCGGAAGAAAATTCCATCGAGCTGGAGAGCAGGCTGGTCTGGCGTCGGGGTAGAGGGACAGTGAGTCTGGTTAGAGCAGTGGTCTGCAAACTCATTAGTCCACAGAGCCACATATCAACAGCACGACGATTGAAATTCCTTTGGAGAGCCAAATTTTTAAAACTTAAACTTCTTTTAATGCCACTTCTTCAAAATAGACTCTCCCAGGCCGTGGTATTTTGTGGAAGAGCCACACTTAAGGAGCCAAAGAGCCGCATGTGGCTGGCGAGCCGCAGTTTGCCGACCACGGGGTTAGAGCAAACAGAGGAGGGCTGGCAGGACATCCAAGGAGGCTCCCCGCCCCCCAGAGGAGCTCAGTTCGCATGGGCCCATGGTGTCAGCACTGGTTCTCCGGGGCCAGAGCTGGTCCGCAGCCGGGCCAATGGGAGCAGCTGGCCGAGGCACACACAGGCCACAGCCGGACGTACAGAGGGAGCGAGGGCTCTGGTGTCAGTGTCGGCAGGACCACAGTGTCGGCAGGGCCATGGCACACAGAAGTCCAAAGTGGAAAGGGGCAGAGGAGTGGGGGCTCCAGTGTGGACGGGAGCCTACAGCTCACAAACGGTGTGGAGGGCACTAGGTTATGGCGGTCACGGCGCCGGGCTGGAGAGCTGAGGGACTGCACATTTCCAGCACGTCCTGGATGTCCTCACACCCTCACCGCAATCCTCCCGCTACTTCCCCCGCACACCGGCCACCATCGGCCTGAGCAGCAGCCAGAAGCCAGCCTCATCCTGCAATGCCCCTCCCCTCTAGCTTCCCCCACTGAGAAAGCGTAGCAGGCCCCCTGAGCGGGGAAAATGCTCCCAGGAACCAAGGCCATTGCCACAGAGCCGCGTGGGAGAGTCATCTTGGAGGAGAGGCCCTACATCGATACTGAACAGACCCAGGAGAAAAGAGAAAGTGGCTCACTCACTGAAACCGCTCAAGATAAAATTAATTCCTGAAATGTACAGAGTATGATACTGCATATAAATTAGTTTTATTTGAATATACTGCTCTATTCCTATACTAGAGGCCCGGTGCATAAAATTCATGCACTGCGGGGACAGAGGGGTTCCCTCAGCCCGGCCTGTGCCTCTCACCGTCCGGGAGCCCTCAGGGATCCCAGGACCCCTTGCTCCTCACCACCCACCTGCTCGCTGCTCCTTAGCGTTGCCATGGAGGCAGGAGAGGCGCCTGCCACCACCACTGTGCTCGCCAGCTGTGAGCCCAGCTTCTGGCTGAGCAGCACTTCTCCTGTGGGAGCGCACTGACCACCAGGGGGCAGCTCCTGCATGGAGCATCTTCCCCCTGGTGGTCAGTGTGCGTCATAGTGACCGGTCATTCTGCCTCTACGGTCACTTAGGCTTTTATTATATAGACTAAAGGCCTACTACATGAAAATTCATGCATTCTGGGGGATCCCTGCCTGCACCCTCTCGAGTCCAGGACCCCTTGGGGGATGTCCACCTGCCAGCTTAGGCCTGTTCTCCAAGGGCTCAGGCCTAAGCTGGCAGTCAGACATCCCTCTGGCAGCCTGGGAACCCTCGGGGGATATCCGGCTGACAGCGTAGGCCCGCTCCCCGCAGTAGGACATCTTCAGTGCTGCCAAGGAGCTAGGAGAGGCTCCCGTCACCGCCAGTGGGCTCACAGCCATCAGCCCAGCTCATGGCTGAGCCCAGCCTCTCCCGTGGGATCGCACTGACCACCAGGGGGCAGCTCCTAAGTTGAATGTCTGCCCCCTGGTGGTCAGTGCGCATCATAGTGACTGGTCATCCCTATGTTAAGTTCTATTTGCATATTACCCTTTTATCACATAGGATACCAGGCCTTACATTTAGTGTTGGAAACATAAAGAAACATGTCAGAGTGCTATTTTGGCTGACAGAATTCTGAAAGAGAGTTTCTAAAATAATGCTCCCATATTAGTAGTCCTTTGGTTCTGCTGGTCTAAGGCTGAAACTGGGTTTTCCCATAAGGAGTTCAACTCCCACTCAACCCTTCTTCCTTTTGTCTTTTTAAGATATTTTTATTGATTTCAAATAGGAAAGGTCAGGAAGATAGAAACATCAATGATGAGAAAGAATCATTGATCAGCTGCCTCCTGCATGCCCCCTACTGGGGATGAAGCCTGCAACCACAAGAGTATGCTCCTGGCTACAATCAAACCCGGGACTGTTAAGTCTGCAGGCCAATGCTCTATCCACTGAGTCAAACCAGCCAGGGCCAGCTTTTTTTCTTCACCCACAGGCCTTTTATTAGTATAGATTTCTACTGATTTCAGAGAGGGAGGGAGAGGGAGGGAGAGGGAGAGAGATAGAAACTTCAAGGATGAGAGAGAATCGTTGATCAACTGCTTCTTGCACGCCCCACACTGGAGAGTGAGCGCTCAAACGGGAATCAAACCACGACCTGCTGGTTCATAGGTCATGGCTCAACCACTGAGCCACGCCGGCCAGGCTGTAAGTGTTATTTAAATACAAGTAAATCCTTGCTGCCTTGCGTGAGGGACATGGCCTGGAAGTTGCTGCTCCCCTTGTGGCAGAGGAGGTTCAAAAGCACCTGTGTCCCCTTCTCGGGGGTTGAGGGTATTTCCACTCCAGCTATTTTCGATATGAAAACAAATATCAAGTAGGATGAAAATTGCAACTGAATGGAAAACGACGTCAGAAAATCCAGATGCTGCGCTGCGCCCCAGCGCAGGTGCAGGTTCTGCCGGGGCCGGCATGTGTGGGGACCCGTCCCTCGTGGACGCGCGAGGCTCATGCTGAGAGCGTTCCTGTGAGTCTTTCGGAGCGTGGCCAGCCCGCCACCGCCACCTGCACCAGCGGCCGCGCCAGAGGAACTGCCTGCTCACCTGTGCCCACACCTGTGCCCACACCTGTGCCCACACCCGTGCCCACACCCGTGCCCACACCTGTGCCCACACCTGTGCCCACACCCGTGGAGGCGAGAACGGAAACCCAGACCTTGGGCCGGGCCTAGCAGCCTGTTTTCCTAAGAACTGTTTGCAGCGATGACAACAAAGTAGCCATTATGGGCCGATGACACTGAGCTGCGAACGAAAACACTGTTAGAATCGGCATCCTTGTTACGTGATCGGCACCACAGGAACCTTCCTTCCACCGATGTCACGGCCCGGCTCTCCTCACAAACGCCCGTTGTCTGTCTCCACGGAACACGGCTTGTGCCCGCGTCAGTGTTCCCCAAACGGCTGTCCTTCTTTTTAAACCTCACGTATGCCTCCCCGCTCAAGGCCTTGTTCCTGGGCTCACGGCGGCAATAAAAGCAGGGTGTGTTTGGCGCGATTCATTCAGCCTGTGACTGCTCGGCGGCCCCGGTGTAGACTCCCCGGGCTGGGGGATTTCTCCCAGGCGGTGGCCGGCCTCCACTCAGCCACCTTCTTCCGGGACATACCCGTCCCCCGTCCCCCAGCCCTGAAGGAGGACATACCTGTCCCCCGCCCCTGAAGGAGGACATACCCGTCCCCCGTCCCTGGAGGAGGACATACCGGTCCCCCATCCCCCGGCCCTGAAGGAGGACATACCCGTCCCCCGTCCCTGGAGGAGGACATACCCGTCCCCCGTCCCTGGAGGAGGACATACCCGTCCCCCGTCCCTGGAGGAGGACATACCCGTCCCCCGTCCCTGGAGGAGGACATACCCGTCCCCCGTCCCTGGAGGAGGACATACCCGTCCCCCGTCCCTGGAGGAGGACATACCCGTCCCCCGTCCCTGGAGGAGGACATACCCGTCCCCCGTCCCCCGGCCCTGAAGGAGGACATACCCGTCCCCCGTCCCTGAAGGAGGACATACCCGTCCCCCGTCCCTGGAGGAGGACATACCCGTCCCCCGTCCCCCAGCCCTGAAGGAGGACATACCCGTCCCCCGTCCCTGGAGGAGGACATACCTGTCCCCCGGCCCTGGAGGAGGAGCCTGGTCGGGGCCGTGAGGAGTGAGAGCAGGAGGGGTGGGTGTTCCTGCCACAAAGGAGGTCCCACTCCGGGGCAGGACAAAGACCGAGTGTTAACCCGGTGCCAGGGGGGCGGACGAGGGACGAGGGACGAGGGAGAGGAGGCCACAGGAGAAAGGGTCACAATCTGAACAGTGACCATGTGCCCCCTATCGGAGGTCCTTGGCATGTACTTTCTCTTTATTTTTTGAACTGGAATGTTTAATTATATGTAAGAAGCAAAACTCTCCTATAGCCCTACCTTCCAGGAACTACCAGTGTTACCAATGTGGTTAAAAACAAATAAACAGGTAAAAAATAAACA